TTCCAGAATTCTTGGAATTCCATGTGATCAACAGACAAAGGCTACTGAGTGGTGATGACATTCAATGTCCTCATTGTGCTTGACTCCCCAAAATCAACAAGACACATATAACTGTTCAATTGTCTGGGAAAACAGCTATGGAGTTTGTGAATTCTAGAACTAGCCCAGGACATCAAGACTGAAATTCTCCAGGGTTTCCAGGTACTCTTGTATCCATATCCTGAGGAGCAAAGGCTCTAGTCATAAGGAAAGCATTATGCAGGATCATCACCACTCTGCCTCCCCAGAGCTGTGACTGTTGAAACACCCAAAATCATTGTGCACAAACTTTAAACAGGAATTTATTTTTATTTATACCATTTAATAACCTGTATTAAGTTATTGTTTATACGTGTCAGGTCAATTTATTCCTCCCAAATCAAATAGTCAAGGAATAAGATCTTATTACACATATCATAGTATTTGCTAACAATAGCCTATTTGTAAAATGGCCTGTTTGATTTGTTACTTTTGATAATCTTCAATGGAGCTCTATGAAAGGGCAGTGAATAACAATGGACACAAATAACCAATGTGATGAAGAGAAATGAAATATATGTTTATAGTTAGTCTTCAATACCTGTGTTTTCATTTGGTCAAGGAAGACATTTTTGAGAAAACACCCTTTATATACCAAGATGATAAGCTAAGGTTTGCCTACATAACAGTATAATGCTATGGGCCTTGGTGGCGCAGTGGTTAGAATACAGTACAGTCTAACTCTGCCCACATCTTGGAATTCAATCCTGATGGGGCTCAAGGTTGACTCAGTCTTACATCCTTCCTTGGTAAAATGAGGACCCAGATTGTTGGGGGCAAGATGCTGACTCTGTAAACCACTTAGAGAGGGCTGTAAAGCACTATGGGGTGGTATGTAAGACTAAGCGCTATTGCTATTTATATTTCTCACATGATCACTATGTGAACATGTGGAACAAGGTAGTTGTTTTTCAACAAACTTCAAGAAGCAACAATGTATATTAAAAGTGGTTCAATTGGCCATAAACCATATTATATACTTCTAGTCAGTGGTGGGATTCAAATATGTGAACAACCAGTTCTCTGTGTGGATGCCGCTTCTGGAAGTCCATTCTGGGCCTGGGCAACAAAAATTAGCTACCAGTTCTGCTGAAGTGGTGCGAACAGGCTGAATCCCACCACTGCTTCTAGTCTATTTTGGGTGAGACTAAAACATTAATAATTGCGTGTAAAAGTTTAAGCACCTCTGATCAAATGGTATGTTTCAATGAATCCTTAGGTGAACAGAAATTAATTCAACTTCTACATTTTTCCACTGTTAGCATTTTGAACAAATCCATTAATTACTGTATGGTTTATTCAGTAAATAGTGGTTAAACAAAGTGAAATTTTAATTTACACATCATAATTGAAATAACATTTCATAGCTTTCAATCTTAGCCATGATATTATAGTCCATGAGCTGCCACAAAACAATGTAGGCTACAGAAAAGTTTGGTATGTTTTATTTTCTTAGGGAAGATTAAGATGTTTATTTTAAAATACAAGTTCACAGACTGAAAAAAAGTAAGAAGAGGGAAATATTTCTGGAATTGAAACAGTACACTCCTTAACAGTTGCAGCAGTAATTGCCAATGCATACATATACTATTACACAAGTAAAAATGTAGCTTCCCTTAAGTCACTATTTCTACAATTAAACTTTAATGAAATATTTCCTAAACTCTTGAGCAGTACAGTTCATAATTATCAAACTAATGCATTCCAGTCAGGTGAATTAAAAGCTACAATCTCAATTTTAACATGTAAGACATGTGACCTGCCTCTGACCTTTATCACAGGCAGCTTACCTCCTACTAACTCAAACAAAGGGTGTTCTCTTCAGAACACCACTCCTATAGCCAACACACTGATGGCAACTGCACTCCAGAAAAAATTCATTCAAATTGCAAATGGATTAATGTATCACTGAGAATGTTTTAAGTATCTGATTCTTCATTCTGAAAGGATGAAGAAAAACCAGTTTAACAGAAAAAAACACACCAATCTAGCACTCTCCACAAAATACATTTACTAAAAGCTCAAATCTCTCTTTTTCTAAGAGCCCACAGCAGGTGAGAAGATAATTCTCCACAAATGTTTGCATTATGTCCTATGCAAATAAAAGCAAAGAAAAATTCAAAGTGTAACCAAATTTCAGTCTAGTTACTTCATTTACCTATATGCATAATCCATACTATTACTGTTTGCTCATCTTCTAAGCCTTAAGAATGTGGTGAAAGATCTCTAAAACATTTGATTTTATATTTATTTTTTTATTTCTAGGGTCAGTCTAATATTCTAAAACAATATTTCCCAGCTAGTCTACAGGGGACGATCGAGAGCATCCTGTCATACAGCATCACAGTCTGGTTTGGAAGCATCACTGCTCCAGACAGGAAAGCGATGCAGAGAGTGGTGAGGATTGCCAAAAAGATCATTGACAGTTCCCTCCCTCCCATCCAGGACATAGCACAGAAGCGTTGCTTGAGCAGGGTCCGTAAGATTATCTGGGACACTACACATCCTCTTCACGACCTGTTTTCTTTGTTACCTTCTGGGAGGAGGCTTCATGGTATCCGTAGCAGAACATCCAGATTCAGCCATAGTTAATTCCATACAGCATTAACCTTGTGAACTCTCAAGCTTCCTCCTTCTGTTATATGTTCAAGATGGACAGTATTTAATATTTATTTGCTATGTATATGTAGGGGTGTGGGTCTATACATATGTTGTACATAGTATGTTTTAGCTGTGTGTCATGTATGTGTTTTACTTTGAGAGCGGGCAACTAAATTTCATTTTTGATGTGTGCCGTTGTGCCCACAGTAAACAAATGACAATAAAGGTTATCTTATCTTATCTTATCTTATCTTATCTTATCTTATCTTATCTTATCTTATCTTATCTTACCTTACCTTACCTTACCTTATTCTGATCAGTATTCAAAGTAGTTAAAAATAATATAAAGATAAAGGTTTCCCTTGTCCAGTTATGTCCTAGAGGGCAATGCTCATCTCCGTTTCTTAGCCAAGGGAGGCACTGTGGTCTAAAGACACTTTTGTGGTCATGTGGCCAGCATGACTGTACACTGAGGTGCATGGAACGCTGTTACCTTCCCACCAAAGTGGTATCTATTTATTTACTTGCATTTGCATACTTTCAATCTGCTAGGTTGGCAGGAACTGGAGCAAGTAACAGGAGCTCACCCCATTGCACAGAACTCGGGTCTCAAACCTGGGCTGTGACAAGTTCAGTATCTTTAACCACTGAGCCATCAAGCCCTCTAAAAATAATATAATATATTAAAATTAAAATTAATAACATCAATTAACTAATTGCTGCTATGGATCTTTACAAATGACTTTATTTTTTATTACATTTGGATCTCATATTTTGTAAAAGGAGTTCAAGACGCATACAAAGCATTTCCTTACTCTAATTTTTCTCCTCCTCAACAACAATTCTATAAGATAGTTGAGCTAAATGGGGGTAATTGGGCCAACGTAACACAGTAAGCTTCCATGGCTGAGATTAGACTAAATTCTGGGTTCCCCACCACTGTAACATTTAAATCACCATTCCATATTGTCTCTTAGATCTCTCATGAAATCTATTGAAACTCATCCAAGAATAACATTGTATTGCACCACTACAGGACTGTATACCTTTCACATTTATAGTAAATACGCAAATAAGGAGTAGGAAAGTTATTTCAGTAGACATATTAATGCAAGTGAAACCTTCAATAGATTGCTGGCACATTATAGGCTACTGCTCGGGTTTCTGACCACTTTAGTCATCTTCCACTCTCATCCCTCCTGTCCTACAATTTTGGACTAGATTTAGATTTAGCCCTCACTCTACAAGTAGTCCTTGCTGAATGACTACTTGTTCAGCAACCATTCAAAGTTACAACAGTGCTGAATGAAGGAGACTTATGACTGTTCCTCATAGATATGGCTGTTGCAGCATTCTCGCAGAAGGTGATCATGATTCAATTGCTTGGCAATTGGCTTACAATTATAATGGTCACAGTGTCTCATTGTCACATGATCACCATTTGAGACTTTCATTGCTGGCTTCTGACAAGCAAAGTTAATGGGGAAGTTGGTAGAAAGTTACAAACCGTGATTATGTGAGACGCTGCAATTATGCAGGATTTGCCTAACAACAGTAATTGTAACTACAGCCAGTGCTATCATAAGTTGGCATGGTCATGTGACATCATGCTTTACAACTGTGTAATTTAGCAATGGAGTTGTCGGTCTCAATTATCATAGTTAAGTGAGGACCACTTATACTGCTTTAGGATATAGTTGACCAGTTCTGAATCTTACAGCTTCTTTTCCACCTAATTTTTTTTAAATTATTATTTATTACTGTTCTGAAGAGTTTTGAGATTTCCATCAGATTGCTCTTGCAATTTCTTTTTTATATATTTGGTGCCACTTTGACCATCTCTACAATTACTGAAAGCCTAAATAACAAGAACATAGGGAATTTGATATAATTGTAATGCAATTTTGTAGGATATATTTCTTAGAAAGTACTTCAACATCTCCTAGTTGAATCTGAAAAAAGCAGATTTGTGGAATTAATTAGAATGTTTTATCAAAACTTGGGGAGTTGCTTACACAAACAGAAAACAATGTTTTAATTGGTAACATGAAAGTTTAAGGTTAATAGACAATTCTAAGTAATTCTGAAATGCACTTGATAGGATATAACAGCACTAACAAAATGAAGTAGGAAGAAAAGCAGCAGCAGTGGAAGCTATAATGTTTTTCCTAAGAAAATAAACCAAGTGAATTGCTGTGGGGAGTTTCAACAGTCTCATAAGAAATCTTCTTTTTCAAGTCCTTGTTAAGAGTCTAACAGCAGAGTCTAATCTCGATAAGCCTTCTTATATAATCAATAAAGCACTTACAGAAAACACTTACGGTTTATGTGGTCAATATAGTAGACACCAATCTGATGATCGTATGCAGCTTCCCATCCCCATGGTAGCTCATCCCCGACACAGTCTGCAAAGGATAATGGCTTTGTTAACCTAGAAACAAAATAACAAAATAATTGAATTAAGATTATAGAATTTTTTCCTCGATACAGACATAGGGAAAATTAAGCAATTTAATTCAGAAGTGCCTCTTCAGGCACTACTACCCTGTTCAATATCTTCACTTTAAAGAACAAGTGAGAAAAGGTTGATTAAGAAACATTGACAAGAGCTAAATGCTTTTTTTTAAAATAAAGATCAATATGCAGAAAGGATATTCCATGTTCTTTCCTGCATTGTATTTTTAGCTGAACATAACTGTTATATTTTTGCATATTTTTTCTTAATAATTCCCAGCACTGATTTTTTTTTCTTTTCATTACAGCTCTCTTGGGCTGTGCTTTAACTCTACAAACCCTGAAGCCAATGCACAATTGTAAAAATCAGGGTATTTTTCAATTCCTTCAAGGTAGAGCCATTGTCTCTAACTCACCTTGTGTCTGATTAAAAATACTTCATGGTCTTTGTATAAATAAATTGTCTTTGATATATAAATTGAGAGCTTGACAATTCAGGAAAAAGAAGGCATCACATGTCATCGTGGCTGAGAAAACTTTTTTTTAAATGCTATTTTTTGACCTTTGATGGAAAATGGAAAACAGAAGTGGATTCAATGAGTGGCAAGTCTGCCTCTGAAGTCACACAATATACAACCATCTATTGCTTGCTCCAATCATAGCATCTTGGTAAGTGTACAGGGAGAACAAATGAGAAGATGGTAGTAGATATCAATAGGAAAGTATTTTTTTATTATTATCCTAATTATTCTGCTAATCTGAGAAACATGGATGTAGAATGATGCTTGTGACCTGCAGAGGATTTGCTATGGATGTGCCATATACAAATAATGCAAGTAGTGGCTAACTGGTTCCCCCTGGAAGAGAAGATGAAAAGACTAGAGAAAAACCTCCAACTTATCTACATGGAGGAAGTAAGCAGTGCGGTACCCCAAGGTTCCGTTATAGGTCCAATACTCTTCAACATCTTCATAAACTATTTAGAAGAGGGAATAGAAGTATTATGACCCGGGGCTGGGCACGGAAGCGACACAGCTGAAGGATTAATTCCATTTTATTGCTCCAACTTTCTCCCAAAATTCCCACCGTTCACTGCAAGTCCAAGAGCAAGCTCTGCACACACACACACACACACACACACACACACACACACACACACACACACACCTCCAATAGTTCTTGGCTGCTAGACATCCAGGGGAGCAGCACAATTCAGGAAGCTTGGTCACTGGGTGTCCTGATCACATAGAGGGTTCACTGGAATTGCAGCATAACCCAGAGCAAAGCTGTGTCACTGCAAAGTCCCACAAGGCCAAGCCAGGCCAGGCCAGGCCAGGCAAGACAGCAGGATGTCAGTAACAGCAATTGTGGCTAGAAAAATGCAATATTTGTTCTTGATAAAAGCCCCTCCCCATGGCATCTGTTTAAATTTTGTTCCCCAGGTGAGGCTTGTGAAGAGGCGTGGGGCACCCTCCTCCTGAGTTGTCATGTCGCCCTGCGCTGACTCTGCCTCCGTTCCATTCTCCACACTCAGGGATCAGGTGGGAGAAGCAGTTACTCTCCAGAGCTCGGTCGCTCCTCTGCTCTGCTGCCTGCACTGTCCCTCTCCTCCTCCCCTCGCTCGGTCATCCAATGCCCTTTCTTCCTCCCTGGTGACCCTTCCGAAGCCTGAGGGACCAAGGGTGATTCCGCCTGCCAAGGATTGCCGCCGCCGCCTCCTCCTCCTCCTGTCATTCCTCCTGGGCCAGAGAGGCAGCACCATCTCCCTCTGTCAGCCCCATTTCCATCTCCATCTCCTCCTCCTTCTCAGACCCGGCTCCAATGGGGCCATGACAAGAAGGAGAACTCATCAGATTTGCAGACAACACTAAACTCGCAGGAATAGCCAAGACCCTAGAAGATAGGCTCAAACTTCAGATGGATCTCGATAGACTTGAACATTGGACTCTAGCTAACAAAATGAAATTCAGTGGTGAGAAAAGTAAGGTTTTACACTTAGGCAAGAAAAATCAAATGTACAGATAGCACCTGGGTGAAACCTGGGTCAATAGCAGTAACTGTGAAAAGGAACTTGGCGTGCTAGTGGACAATTACTTAAATATGAGCTGGCAGTATGCAGCAGCAGCCAAAAAAGCCAATATAATCCTAGGCAGCATTAACAGAGGGATAGGATCACATGAAGTACTAGTACCGCTTCATAAAGCCTTAGTAAGATCACACTTAAAAAACTCCATCCAGTTTTGGTCACCATACTATAAAAAAGATGTTGAGATTCTGGAAAAAGTGCAGAAAAGAGTAACAAAGATGATTAGAGGGCTGAAGACTAAAACATATGAAGAACGGCTGCAGGAATTGGGTATGACTAGTCTAGTGAAAGAAGGACAAGGGTGACATGATAGCAGAGTTCCAATATTTCAAGGGTTGCCATAGAGAATAGGGAGTCAAATGTTATTTTTTATGTTCCGTTATTACTGCTTTCTTCTCTTCTTTTTTATTTTTTATTTCTTTTTCATTCTTCTTCTTTTCCCCTTTCTTTTTACTCTTATATCCATTACTTAAGAAATGTAAAAATGTGAGATGGCTTATATGGAAAAAATAGAATTAAGTCTGTCAATGTAAATGTAACTAATCACTGAGAAAACTTTTACCAGTAAAAATATTTAGAATGTGGTGGGAGAAATAAACTAAAATACGGATCATTAACAGGATCGATGATAAGGCAATCCAAATGACTGAAAAAAAAGAAATGTATAAATATGATGATTATTTTTTAGGAATATTAGAAAAAATATATTGTCATTTATTAAAATTGTCATTTATTAAAACAATAAGAATTGTATTAACTCAATGTTTGCAAAAAAGGATGTTTCGGGGAAAGAGGAAATCAACCAAAATTAATATATGGAATACAGACTATAGAAATCAATTGTTAAGGAGTGTTTTTACAAATGTAACCCAGACAACACACTGTTTACCAATTATTGAGTGACTTATGCTTGTGTAAAAAATTAATAAAAATATAATACTAAAAAAAAAGAGAGAAGAGGGAGTCAAGCTATTTTCCAAAGCACCTGAAGGCAAGATAAGAAACAATGGATGGAAACTAATCAATGAGAGAAGCTAACTAGAACTAATAAGAATTTTTCTAACAGTAAGAACAATTATCCAATGGAACAACTTGCCTTCAGAAGGCAGGACAAGAAACAATGGATGGAAAATAACCAAAGAGAGAATCAACTTAGAACTAAGGAGAAATCTTCTGAGAGTTAGAAAATTAATCAGTGGAACAACCTGCCTCCAGAAGCTTTGAACACTCCAACACTGGAAGTTTTTAAGAAGAGACTGGACAGCCATTTGTCTGAAATGGTATAGGGTTTTCTGCCTGAGCAGGGGGTTGGACTAGATGACCTCCAAGGTCTTTTCCAACGTCATCATCATCATCATCATCATCATCATTATTTTGTTGTTGTGGTGGTGATGGTGATGGTGGTGTTCTCATCACTGGAGGCTTTTAAGAAGAGATTGGATAGTCACTTGTCTGGAATGGTATAGGGTCCCCTGTTTGAGCAGGGGGTTGGACTAGAACATTTCCAAGGTCCCTTCCAACTCAATTATGGGATAGGATAAGACATTTGCAAAAGGACAACAATAGCACAATATGTCCCAGAAGACAGAAGAAACCAGGTGGAAGCAACAGAAATATGAAGAAATGTGATATAAAGGGCCATGCTTGTTAAGAATAGCTCTTTGGGGGGGGGGGGAGTTTCAGAACAAATAAAATCAGTTTATTACAGCCATATGGCCAGAAACAGTAAAATATCCAATTGTAGGCTACTTACATACATATATAAAAATGCAGAGCATGATCTAATGGTGAATAAGAACACATATAATAAAATTAATTTTAAAATAAACAATTATTAAAAAGATCTAAAAATAATATTTATCTTATTTATGGTTCTGACGAATCCCCAGTGCTGCTGCGCAGAATCTAGCCATCTGCACTGTAATCACAGCCTGTTCATCCTTAAGCAGCCACTGGAGATAAGTAGTGTCAGAATCGCCAGGATACCTATCAATTATTGGGAGGATATCATTTTTTCAACTATCTCTATAGAAAGAGCATCAAAGGAGTATGTGTCCAATGGTCTCCACCTCTGCTGAGCCACAGGAGTAGAGTCTTTCAGTCAATGGCATCTTTTTATACTTGCCGTATAGGATGGCCGATGCTTTCCAATGGTTTGCTGACTCCAACTGGCTAAGGTAACTGGTGGGAGTAATAACATATCTAATAGAGTCTGAAGCCAAAAACAGCAGAGCTATCCCTAAATATGCTTGTCTCTCGATGTCCTCTACCTTTTGTCTCAAGGTCTGTTGTCCTTGGCCGTAGTCCAATTTGAGTATTGAGGCTGGAGAGAAGCCTACAGCAGTTTGGCAAGGTTGGACTCGACTGCCTTGATCCATGATGAGGAAATTTGTCTTGGAGGATTAATGGAGCAAGGCCTTGTGAAAAGAAATTTAAGAGATTTAAAGAACCTATACAGATTCTTGCTTTGACTTTTATCAATCCTGTCTCCAGGCACAGAAGTGCATTTGAGGCACAACACATCTGGAGAATTGCTCTAATAAATTTAGATTGAACTCTTTCCATAGGTGTGAAACATGAAGCTGAGGGTCTGAGCAAGGTCCCGTAGTAGAGAAGCTGTGGTAGCAACTTGGTCAGAAAGAGCTTAATTGCGGCTGAAACATAGTGTCCTCCCTTTGTGCAGAAAAAGTTTAGGATGGCATTCAACGATCTTTGGCCAGACGCAGCCACATAGACTCCATGTGCTTTTCTTGACCCAGTGGCATGGATGACCACCCATAGGTACTTAAAGTTGGTTACCTGCTCTATATCATTATCATTAAGATACCATGAATAGAGTTTTGGTCTTTTTGCAAAAAGCCATAACCTTTATTTATTATAACTTTATGTCC